AACTATATGTTCGAAACCCTCTCCAATGCAGCTTCAAAGGCTAAAACGCTCCCTCTGGTCTAAAACCACCCCTGTGGCGCAACTGGGGCAGCGCTATTCATAAAAGTCAGTTCCCCCAACAAATACGGAAGTGGACGCACCTGTGTGCGAAGGAGAATCCATCTTCTGCCCATTTGTTCACGTCATTGATCTTCCATTTCGATTTCGAGGGATGTGAAGGGTCCAAAAAAGAATCTATAAGGCTGTAGCAGATATTCTGGTGGTATAAGACTGTATAGTCAGACTGTATCAGACTGTATAGTCTTCTCATGCCAAGTCAGTTTGGTTCGACTTGCTTCGACCTGACCTCTTGGGCTCCGCGCCGCTGAGGGCGCCCAGCACCACGACAGGGCTCGGCACCTCCAGGAGCGGCGGCTCTGACCTGAGGACGAAGAGCCCCCGGAGGCGGCGAACGGAGGCAGGGCGTGTACTAATCAAGAGGTATATATATATATACCTAGAGCCTGACTGACTGTTTTGATAGGAAACGACCATATTTTGGAGAGTTGATCCTCCAAAACAGGGGTCACTCAGGTTCCAGGTATGTGTATATACCAGGACCCTCCAAGGGGTGCCCAATGGAAGCCTATAGGTAGTGTGGGGTAGTCCATTGGACACCCCTTGGAGGGTCCAGGCATATACCCTATAATACGCGCCCAAGCCCTATAATTTTGTAGGGTTTCAATCGAAACCTCGGGTATGCACATGTGCCATCAACAATACCTAGGGCTTGTTCTCAGAACCTCGGGTCTTGTTTTTCTAACACGTATTAAACCTATATTTAACCTGTATTTAGTACTGGTTTGGAAAACATCGGGTTTCCTTCACAAACCCTAGGTTTCTCCATCGACCCTACAACTGAAAAAAATATAGGATTTGAGCTTGTATGGTACATATATGAATTGGAGATGATGAGAGGGTTTTGGTAAAGGAAGGGGTGAAAGTAACAGCGAAGAAAGAACACATCAAAAGGGAACCTCTCGAGTGAACGGGTGGTTTGGGGCAAATCTGGTGACAAGAAGGAAAACGAGCTGAAACCAGTCAATCAGACATGTGCCAGAATGCCCAGCAGGCTTGAAGTCAAACTGGACAAAATTGATCAAACGATGGGAAACCGTGTGGTGAAATCAAACTTTACCAAACAATTGTCCACCATTCATAAACGTTGGGTCGCCTGGTGGTTTCTTTAGTTCCAGCTGGAAGTTCGCTTGGCGATTCTTCTTGCGTCTTTGTGATTATTCACCTGCTATGGATATTGAGTGCCACTTGATCTATCTAGCCCACAGTCTGTGTCTTTTCCTCGGGCTCTTCCCGTCAGCTGAGGTGCAAAAAGATCTTACAGCACAACTCGCAAAGGGTGCCTCGGAACTGCAGTTCTTTCCGCTGGGGAGCTGGTAGGGCCTGTGACAGGTGGGCCCACTGATGAGACGCATGGTGATTTCCAAGACCAAGAAGAACAAGCAAAATGGTTGCAGGGATTCACGCCCTCTGAATATTTACATGGTCGAGTATCTTAAGATTATCGGATTATCATCAAGAAGAAGCAAACAGGAGCTGCGACTTCATGAACTTCATGGAATTTCGATAAAATTCGCGCACGGAGACGCATCGCAACCGGTGACTTGAAGGATGGAGCAACATTTGGTTGAACAGAGTCTATGTCAAAGTCCAGTTCGAGGATTTTTGGACCGAAGTCAAGGCAAATCCTTTTTGGGCCATCAGTCAAACCCTGTTCGGTCTTGGATCGGACTTTCCGGCTGCGCAGCAGGGCTAACGATGCATTGCTCCTCAGCCCTTTGCTGAGCTCCGCTTCTGGAAGGTCCACGTGTGCTCCTGGGCGGTCCGAGATCCGCCTGGCCACTGGCGCAGTGTCACAGTGGCCACTGGCACAGCAGTGTTTCACTACAAAAGCTCCTCACTTGGACAGTGGACATCCTGACTTCCAGTATGTAATGTAGAGGCAAAGATTTCGGGAAAAAACAAGTCTGACACCACCTGATGTGACAACCACTGTCCCACAAAAAAGGTCTATCTCATCATATTAGGCTGTGAGTATATATATATATATACATCTACCTCCCCCAGCAATTCATGGGTAGGTTGACGATTCATATTATGTGTAGCACTTATCGTCTTTCAGGGTCAACCACGGTCCCCGGGCGCGCAGCTCCGCCGGTGTCAATTCGCTCCGCCGGTCGGCCCGGCCGCCCAGCCCGCCGCTCCTCCTTGTGGCGAGCGGCTGAAGTAGCGGTCGCCTGGCGGTCGCAGGGCCGGGGCCAGGCGGGGCCGGCCTGGCCCGGACCACGTACCGAGCTAGTGGGAGAAGATTCTCAGGAAAGCATAGTGGAGAGTCCTGGTTTTGTGTTCTCAAGCTTCCTGATGCCTGTGGATTTTAGAGAGGTTTTTTTCCAAATGTAGTGGTGTTTGAGCCGTGCTAGAATCTCCAATGTCGTGTCAAACGCATTGGTGAATTGACAATCTCTCTCTCTCTCTACTAGTATGTTGGAACCGATCCACTTGCACAACTCAGATTCAAAGCGGCAATCACCTCAACCACACAGATCACCTCGCTACATCTCATGCGGTGAATCCAGCGCTTTCCTCCAGCGCTTTCGTGCCTTTCGGCTCCAATGCCTCGATGTTCTTCTCCAGATTGAGTTCCTGCTGGCGGGCTCCGAGGGCCGAGGAGGAGCCCGAAGAGGAGCCCGTGTGACGTCGACTCCATGAGACGGGAGACGTGACGTCTCTTTGTTGGGCGACCCGAAGAAGCTTCGACGCCGACACCGAGGTATGAGGTCGCACGCCTTCTCAATGAGCATGTAGACGGTGACATCTCCTGACAGGACGCAAGCAAACGGCGACTGGCGAGCAAGCAAACGAGCGTTTGTTTGGTGGCCAATGTAGTGGTCCATAGTACTTAGTGGCACACTTAAGCCATGATCATCCGTCCATCTACACCACAACCTCTCTGCATTCTCCATGCTAGTGACATGAAATCATCAATGATCTCACTTGAATTTACAATATAGAGTAATGCAAATAAGAGTGTATCATATATCTATATACATATACACTTTACGATACTATGCTATGCCATACTATCATGCAATGGATTACGGTTAGAGATAGGGTTCATCCCGATTCATACTACAACACGCTGGGTCCCAAGGTCGTTCAAAAGGCTACGTGCGGGCCAAACCGGAGCCACGATAGAATTGCTCAAGTCTCCTTTCCATCCCAAGGAGTGAACAGTCTCATCGTCCTTCAAGCGACCATCCTGACGTGGCATGATTGGGGACACATTAGAGAGATGCCCCCTGAGTTGGTGGATCCTTGCTGCCTGAAATCCTTTGGGAAGGTTACAAGCTTCAGCTCTGGGGCTCATTTGTATGCAAGTGTGTGCATTTTTTCGTCTCACTCATTCCAACATGCCTCGCAGGTGAGAGTCTGCATGATGACTGGCGGCCCACCATTCCTTAGCCAGTTGGAAGGACAGTTTTAAACGTCTGGCATGGAAGCAGTTTGGGATAGCCGTGCCCCTCAAACATGGCTTCTGACTATCAGCTTTTAAGTACATTTTGCCTATGGGCCTATGTCATTCTTCTTCTGCTTTTCCCGTGACTTTTCCATACATTTCCATACATTTCCAATTAAACGCTGGAGCCCCCAATGTCTCAAGCGCTGTGTGGACCTTGAGTAGGAAACAATTCTAAACAGCCATGAGGTGTAGGAGAACCCACTCTATGCGCACTTTCAAACTCTCTGCCACTGCAAACGGCCACCAGCACAGTGCAACAGTGCAGCAAAACACCCCACTGTTGACCACACGTCAAGCACACTTACATGAACTTATATACTATAGAATCTCTTTCTGATTCCACTTGTTAGATCTATATAGACTATCAGAAAGAGACCTATCTCAGAAAGAGACCTATAGACTATGATAGACTTGCTTGGAGTGTTTGTTGGATCTGTGGCCCAGCTCTCTTGGACCACCCGGCGAACCTCCCGCGACTACCCCAGTCGTGGCCCAGTCGCTCCGCAACGGCCACCTTCAGCGCTCTCACGGTGCTGGAGCTGGTGCACTGGACGGATGCTTGAGTCACACCTGGAGGTCGGTGTGGAGGTCGCTTTTCATGGCTTTGAATCGAAAAACCAAGGCACTGCAAGTTTTGGGGGGACAAGGTGTTGACATGGTGCTGATGTCTGATTTGATATGCATTTCTATGCATGTCTTCTTTCGGGGCTTTTAGTGACACACATCCCTTGCCCCCCGATGTGTCCTACAGGCTGACCATGATCCGTCAATCCTTGTGAAGGTTGTTGGACCATGGTTACCCTCAAGTATGGCAAAGTTGGCATCACATGGTAACTATGGTAGCCGCTGGTAGCCTGGTAGCCTTAGTCGTCTGGCATCGTTGCTGTGTCAGTCAACAAAGGTGCGGCCAAAACTAACATGGCTACCCAAAAAGCACTGTCCCGCCAGCGACCCCCAACCTGAACAACATTCAAAAGCTGAGCCATCTCCAGAGCTCCTGCCCTTAGGCCTTGCATCTCCGGACCTCCCTGCTAGGTCCCACAGGAGCTTCCGAAGCGCATTTTTCTGCTCAAAATCTGAAAAGATGTGCCCCATGGCAATGTGTGGATTTGGACTTTGCTCTCTCAGGAGTTTCGTTGGCTTTGGAGAATACCACAAAGTCTCTGCAAATCCTCGACAGCATGGAAGCTGCGACGCAGCTTACGTCGTCTAAGAAGCTACATAAAGACCTACGGCCTCCTACACGGTGGTTCATCCTGGGTGCTACTGCTACCGAAACTCTACACAAATGTTTGGTGTCAGTGGTTGGTACAACTACCATATATCTACATACAAATGTACTCGTCTGGAAGGACATATGACATTCCCCAAAACAATCCCAAAATGGCCTTCGCACTGGACCACCCGTCTTATGATCAAAAGAGCGACCGGGGACTTGAACCACCTACATCAACTAGCCCCACCTTATCCATCGCACATTCTTGCAGCTTCATTCTCACGTCCTTGTTGGACAAAACACCCTGTTTTGGGATTGTGCGATGCGTAGAGATTGAGGGGGAGCACGTGTGGCTCCTCAACCCGCAGGTTGAGCGGTCGTCATTGGTTGTAGAGGACCAAGCCCGGCAACCTTGGACAAGGCCAAGGCTCCAAACGGAGCCTTGACATCTGCATCCATCGCAGTGCGTCAATCCAGCAATGCGTGAGCACTAAGAGCACCAGAAACAAACAAGAATAGGGCTGTAGACCAACAAGAAACACAGCTTGAGGAAAAACGGTACTTCATGCTCAAAATATATGTTCATATGGTGCTGCTGGATGGCACAATGGCCCATACTTCCACAGAATCAGTGGTCTTTCTGATCAGATGCTATGCCAAAACGCCTGTCGCCAGGGCTGATGTCCAAGTGGCTCGTCATCATCCTCATTCTCCAAAGCATCCAGTTGTGACAAAAGGCTGTGGTCGGCAGCGGCATCCTTGGCAGTGTAAACAGATGGAAGACTTTAGCCGCTTCATTGCCAGTCAAGCGCTCCCAACAAATGGTTTGAATAACTTACTTGAGCAACCAACCATCTGTTTGAAGTAATTCAACAACCAACCGTTGAGTTTCCACCATCTGGTCATCGGCTAGAGCTTCCAACCATCTGTTTCAACCAACCGTTGAGCCTCCACCGATTGAAGGACACTACAACCTTCTTAGCTCCCCATCATGAGGCCAAAACAAAAAAGGAAAGCAAGAACCACTGACACCACTGACACACGCCCGGGCCCTCAACAAAGGACCCACATATTGTATATAAAGGATTCTTCAGCTTCCCAAGCGGCATCTGAGCCCCAACCCCTTTTGCTTCCTTTCATGGCCTGATCCTGATCTTCCACTCAGACCCTTAAAATTATCAAAATTGAAACCTCAATTCCTCAAACCTCCAAAGAATCGCATCAAATACACCCAGTCTACAAGTTTACAAGGCTCTTTCTAGGATGGGTCGTTTCGTCTCACCACCATCACCATCACCACCACCCCACCACACCCTACCTCGCCCGCCAGAACCCCCCGGAACCCTCCAGAACCCGCCACCGCGCGTCCAAATCGACTTCGTCCAACAAATCCTCGATGGCCGTGGGCCGTGGAAACAGGCGCTTTGCCAAGTTCTCAAGGCTTTCGGCGTCATCCTCGGCGCATCTCGGCGGTGACGTTCGTTGACGGCGTGGGTTTTGGGGTGCCAAGGACTCGGTGACGGTGAGCGCAAGGTGATGGCAGTGACAAAGCAAAGACTGGGAAACACGCAGCAAGCGGCTGAATTACTATGAAGTGCATCAGCTAGATTGTTAAGTTCTGAACATTTGACATGAGCTGGATTGAGGGGCTTCGATGATAGTGTTCTCCAATCTTTGGAATGGCTGTTCCCCTTGAGCACCAAACAGTCTTTTTTTCGCACCAGGAACGCCGGAGCTCCGTCTCCCATCCCACCTCCGTGCACCACGTCACTACTCCCCCAGACCTCCCAAACGAACGAATTCGCCCAAGCACTGCCATGCTATACCACCGCTCGGTCTGTTTGGGCGGCTTGCGCGGCTCCGAACAGGCTCGAGAACGCTCCCGGCTTTGGCGGCTCTGGCGGCTCTTGCGGCCTGTAGGGAGATCTGGCGCTTGGCAGTCTTCCGGGAGGACACATGGAAAAATCAATATGACTTCCACACGTGCTGTCGCGACATTAGATGCCAACATTGATAGAAATGCAACCTTTGGAAATGGTAAGCACCATGCAGCAAACCTTCCTGGAACGCATTCCAGCAAGTGTATTCAAACCACAGACTCAAAATCCCAAAACTGCACAATCGACTGAAGGCTCCTTACAGCGTGTCTCAGCCACCCAATCACACGTCCCCCTCCTCCTTCCACCGCACCAGGCCTGTATATCTGGGTCTCCGTTGCTTCGGCCCACGACGCCCCGAGGGGCCGTGCTCGGTGACCCGTGCACCGCCCGCGCGCGCCGCGAAGGCGAGGCTGGGCGTCTCGTCGGCGTGGCCTGGGAAGGCGCCCATGAAGGCCCAAGGCACCTCGGCACCGACCAAAAGGAAGGGGCTGCGGTGGGTTCAAACTGCATGTGGTATATGTGTCTAGTCTACATAGTCTACACCGGTTCTGGAGAGTGCGTTTTTTGGGTCACCAACAGGTTCTGAGGCCAATTCTCCAAGAACACCACTCTACTCTACGCGGTTCAAAGATGTTCAAAGCATCCTATAGCTTCGATCAACCAAAGACCTGAAGTGACGAAGTAACTCTGAGTCAGCTTGAAAGGAAGGTTGCCCACTTCTTCCTTTAGAATTCCTGTTAATTGAATCCAAGCAAGCTCATGGGCTCCAAATGCCCAACATGGGTGAGTTGATGTGAGTTGTGTCTGCAGGCTTAGCTAAGCAAATAAGTGCCATATCCTCCGTTCAAGCCAAGCAGCCCAGACTGTCGCATGTGGTGGTGGTGGTGGTGGTGGTGGTGTGAAATACAGTCACCATCGTTGACCATTTCGTTCGACCACAACATGTCATGCATACAATCGGAAGGGAACATCGTTCGAGTCGCTTGCATGTGTGCTGCATCCATCCAGGGTGTTTTTGGCCGGTTTTTGAAGGGATGACACGCGCAAATCCGAAGTGTTGTATCCCAGCTTCCTCGAGAGCACAAATCGAGAAAGTGTACCAAGTTCGTCGAAGCCGAGCCTTGCCATGACGAACTCAACAATCGCCAGAGCTGTGATTTAAGGGTGCAGTCAGCCCAAGCTGTCGGCGTCCTTTAGCTTACAGTGCGCGTTCGTAAGAACCCATTGAGTGCAGCCAACCCTAGTTGGGGGCCTCAAATCCGTTCGTCATTGGCTCAAGGCTCAAGGCTCAAGTCCGTGCGAGAAAAACCCGCGCGGGCGCCGGGGCGGTGGGCGAATCGGACGATCGCGTCCGAGGGTTCGCGATAGGTTTGAGGTCTCATTCAATTTTGTTCAAGGTTCACGTTCTTTTTGGGGAACAGTTCACGAGAGTTTTAACTTTCATAGGTGGTGGTGGTGGTGGTGGTGGTGGACACGTGATGATCCGAAGACCCACGGAAGACCTTGAGAAGAGAGACTACCCTGATTATGGACATTGGACAATGTCCGAGGACATCCCACCTGCCAACCCCCAAAATAAAGTATATAACTTAAACTAATAAGCCTACACTGTCAACATAGAAAACTCTTACATGTCACATGTCCCTGTTGATTCTTGAGCAGTCAAGCCCAATGATAGCCCAAGTGAGGTCTGTCACATTTGTTTTTGAGACTATCACGTTCTTGCAGAATCTTCGGCTGACTGAGGCGCAAGGACTTTCTCTTCGGCCGTGTCCAGAATCTCGCACTTCATGTCCACCTGCGGCAGCCAGTCTGGCGATCCAACCGTAAACCCTCTGATGAGTCTGACAGGGAGCTGTGCTCACAAATCAGGAGCTGTGCTCACAAATCACAGGTGCTCTGAAAATGGCAGCGTTCAGCCAATGTACCTTCCCCTTTCCTTCTAGATCAAAGCTTTCGATGATCAATCCTTTACCCATCAGTACCCATCATTTGATTGATTGGGTGATTGTGAAACACTCTGATCTTCGTTTGTGACAGTGGAGCAAACCGAGCACATCTCGCCACCCGCATGTGAACGGCAACACCATCTTTGCTCAGTACCGGCTTTTGCTCCATTCCATCATTCCCCCAACACACACACACACACACAGCATCACACCCTCTCAACTCATGTAAAAGCGCATACCTGCGCGCCAGGGCACCGGCAGCCATCCGGTGCCTGACCTGCGCCAGCTCTTTCCAGGGCCACCCAAAGTCAGGGCCAGGCCATCTGGTGCCTCGGCTGGAGGAATTGAGCACGGGGCCATGGCTCGTACGACATGAAGATCACTAAGCCACATCAGGGGCACCACTGCTCATGGTGGACCCAACTGGAGGATGGGCTCGCGCGCCCGCTCTCCCAAGGTCCAAGTGTTCAACCTAAAGGATTCTCCCCTGCCTAGACCTCCAAAACCAGTTCACAGTTCAACGCAAAGCCACTACAAAACAGTCTAGTCTAAACAAAGAAAACCAAAAGGTCATCTCAGGCTTCGAATTGCAGCTACCACTGAAGACGCTGTGATGAATGGATTAATTAAGAGTAGTAGACATCACCGCCGATTGTCATTACCAAACAGGTGTCAGCCCTTGTCTTCATGCCACACATCACGCCGTGGACCAAGACCCATGTCACGTGGATGATGTCATGCCAAGAGGAGAAAGAACAAAAAATGATGCTGAAGGCAAGTCCTGAGGATCTAAGGCTTTGCAAACAAAGTCGTCGTAACCTCAAGGCGTTTCCGGGCGCTTCACATTCGCCCTACGATGAAACGACCGTGCAAGCGCTCGCGAGTCGAATGCTCGAGGGGGGAGAAGCGGTTGGGCCGTTTCTTGAGCCAAACTATCCATCAGGGCTAAGCAAAGGACTGTTCCGGAGGTCCGGAAGCAATCTAGATCAAATGGGAACAACCGTGGTGTTGAAACGTCTTTACCCTTGCAAATCCTCATTGCTCAAACACCACAAAATCCCGTCGTTTCTTTGGTGGCCCAAATCGCCCTGCACGGCCGGGTCCCCATCATGGCCGCCTTTCTCCCTTCCCGTGGCCCCTGAGCGCAGCACCGTCGAGCTCATCGTGGACGTCAATCTTGACCAAGAGATCAGCGGCGAAGCGTCGATCTTTCTCCTGAGCGCACTGATGGCATCGGCATGAGGGGCCCCCGTGCTGTGATGTCTTTGGCAGTGGCTGTGTAGCGCATGCTTGCAGCTGTGTCAGTGTGCCGTGATGTGGGCCATCAACTCGAAATGGGAAGATGTCTTGATCTTTGGACCAGTTGCTTTGGTTTCCTTTGCAAGTCTGCGTTTTGCTGGAGAATCTCTGCGCGAGGAAGTGTAGACGATGGAATTGGGTGACGAGAGCGACTAAAGGTGAATCAACTTATGCTGAGTAGTCTTGGCCAAAAAGCCATTCAGCTGCTCCATTAAGCCGATTCCTATACCCGTTTGGTGTGTAGAACGAAGAACCTATTAGGGCGACAAAGAAACTGGTGCACGGTTCCCATTGCGCACGTCTTATGGATTCCCATTGCCCTCTTACAGCATCAGTCTTGGGGGGATTCACTTCCATCCTTCTCACACCTCGCTTTGCGGGAAGAGGAGACATGGCCGCCACCCTAGTAGCAATGGCCTCCAACCTACTAGCGATGGCCTCCAGGTTCCCTTTGGTGACCAGCTCACTTCGCCCATCAAGCGAGCTCGATGGTGCCAAGATGTGCCAAGCATCGCAGGCTGCAGCATAGCCCGCCAAGCCTCGAAGCCGCAGGATCCGCCGGATCCGCCGGAGGCCGTGCGTCCAGAGTCTTGGGTGGTCGAGTTCTATCCCCCAACCAAGAGGCATGAAATGAACCGCAGTGTTTTATAGTCAACATGTAAACCCGCGAATCACGGCGAAGGAATTGCGCTTACATAGGTGCCACCAGCCAACACTTCATTCCAAATTCTACACTTCCTCAACCACTTGAGAACTTTCATGTCACTGTCTTCAGCAGCCAGCTAGTCATCTGCAGTCTGCCATCTGCGGCCCAGTCCACTGCCAAAGGAGTAAATGTCCATCTCGTTCTTGTACCACTGGGCAATGGTTTGATGAGCATTGTCCACTTCCTGAGCCCACTCAATCGAAGAAGACGACAGCCCACCCAGGTCTTGATTTTCAGCGGAACATGGCCTCCGGGCCATCCACAGGTATCTGTTGGGTCTATCCTATTACCTGCAACAGTGGATGATGATGCTTAGTAAAGGCCTTGTTCAAACATGATGATGCTTAGTAAAGGCCTGTTAACAGACCCATGCCAATATATCTGCCGGTCTCTGCACGGTCGACCGATGTCAGGAGCCAGTTTTTGCCAAACATAGCAGGTACTCGAAGTTCAGAACGCCCGCCCCCGCCACATGCTTTAACAACATGCCCCAGGACTCCAGGACACTCACTGAACGCAAACACCAAACAGCATACCTGCCAGCTCTTCCAAGTAGACCTGCAAAGTGGAGGATGGTTCCTTCCATGCTGCACCTATGCCACATGCCATCTTCTGAGTGGCATGGCTGTAGGCCAAGTCAGTGGCCATGGGATCCACTTCCTCGCGAAGCCCACCGCACATGTCGTGGTCAACGCCATCAACCGCAGGGTTGTGGGCGCGCATGATGGCAACAACTGTAAAGTATCATTTGCTGTACCATCTACACATATACACGTCAACAAAGTCAGCAAATGCCAGCAGCAAAGCTGCATAGCCCCTGCATAGCTTGTGATACCTTTTCCAGGTACAGGCCCAGGCATCTCAAAATGAGGAATCTCATTGTAGACCTTTGGGTCGTGCCTACAAAGCTATCAAAACAACACAGAACATTGAACATGTCCCTTTTTGCTGGAGATCATCTCAGAATGACAATAATGTTTGACCACATCTTTGATCTTTGATATCCCATCAATCATCTTCAAATCTCTCATCTCTCCGCGTCCTGATCCCAAACCTTGATCTTCTGAATTCGGCCTGATGGCATTTCGTCGCAGCCGACATCCACTCGCCGAGTTCCAGAGAAGTCTCATGACAATGCGTGCTTTCGTATGACTTGATGGAACTAAACATTTAGACATCATCCACCCACCTCTCCCCATCCCACTTATCCGCTTCCCCACTCTTCCCACACCCCGCCTTTGAAGGCTGTTCCGCCGCCCATGCGGCCGCCCACATAGAGCGCTTGGCGACGGCAGCAACGGGGCGCCGGGCCATAGGAGCGGGCGATGATTTCCCCGTCGCGGTAGACGTTGTAGATCCCCACCTAGGACGATCTCCCCACCCAGTCGCGGCGATCCGGTCTTCGGGGAGGGAAGAAATGGGAAGACGGTATGAAGAAGGTTTTGCCAACAGGTTGGAGCGGTGCTTTTTCACTGGGTGACGGTTCTTTCTCCCCTTTTCGGTGCTTGAGAGAGGTTTGCCCTGGCTCAGCACCAAGAGACACCTGCCCAGACAGAAGCAAAAGGACAGCCCGGATGGATGGGCTACACCAAAGGACAGTAGCTTCACCGGGTCGGCCGGGTCCATCTCCTTGCGCCAGGTGGCAGCACTCACGGTGAAGAGGTAAGAGTGTGCTTGACCTAAGACGGTGGTCCCGGTCGAAACGAGGCACCTGTGGACATGCAGGTCACGCACACTAAACAAAAGAGTAAGCAAGAGTTAATAGGGTGCACAGAACTTTGGAAAGCTTCCAAGAAATAGCTTCTGCTCTTGGAACTGCATTGAAATGACTCACAACCAAAGTGGGCAAAAAAGGAACATACAATATCAAACCATTGAACATAATAGTCACTTAGCATACATCATACAAGCATTGTCTTTCATTGGCTTTCAATTTCCAGAGGTGTTCGGAACCAATTTCTGTTGCACGCGCGTTCAACAAAAAAGGCTTCAAATACGGTGAAACCTTACTTTTGAAGCCTTACAGTAATTAAAACCGGCTAGTAGGTAAGCCTAAAACGGTGTCACCTCGAAGTTAAAGTCTAAAGTTCCTGCCAAGGAGCCATTCGCCTCCCAGCACTCCTCCACCACAAAGCTGTGGCCCTGCGCGCGGAGCGTTTGTTCTTCTCGGAGGCCAGGATTGCGTTGTTGTTCGGTTCTTTCTCTTTTTGGGTGAGGCGAACGAACAAGACGTGCTGGCAAATGCTTGCTTAGGGATGTTAGGCAAAAATCATGCAACATGCAGACAAGAAAACCTGGGTTATACATATTTATACAATTACACATTAAAGCACTACTGACTGTACACTGACCTGGGCTGATCTGAGCGAAATCGGTGCCTCGTTGAGACGAGGCGACACGTTTTCTGCCTCAGGCAACGTTCGGTCTCCTTCCTCTGCAAACAGCGAAGGAAGGCTCTGGACTTGATCCGGACGTGCGGACGTAACACAGAAGCCCGTTGGGGATCCCTTTTACCGAACCTCAGGTAGAGTGAAGAAGGAGACACCGTGACATGTAGGTGCCAGGAGGGTCCAGTCGTACCTTCTGCGAAGGTATTTGGATCCCTGGGGGAAGGGTATCTGACTACTTCACGATGATCAACCAAGGGCCCACTTCATTCGAAAGCGCCCTTTCGAACCCGCCTCTGCACCAAACACGAGCGCGCCCGGCTTCGTGTGGAGCTGAGCGAAGATCCGGTCAGAGGAGCCATTGGAGAAGTCGAAAATGAGACCTTGGAGTCCAATCCCCGAAGAGATGGAGTTGCTTCAAGTCGAAGTCATCTGAAGCCATCAGGTGGCCAACGATTTACTCACTCCAGCCAGTTCTTCAACGTGTATCGAAAAGCTATTTATCTGCGTAACATGGAGCCTACAGCAGCCACACCCAGAAGCACAGGCTGATGTCAAGCGAAAAGCTGGAGATGCAATCGTAAACCAATTGGTATATAATCAGGCTACTACCAAGGGTGGATGGATAATGTGGTGGGTGTGTCTGCACAAGCAGCAGTCTGCTTCCTTGACTAAAAACCTCCGATGGGACAAGCTTCACCGAAATTTGACGGGACATGACAAAAATTCATGGTTGACCAAGGGCCAATGCCTAAAATGAATCTATTTCAGGTTGCCACATTGGCGAATGGATCCGGACTAGACTCCGTCTTCCTCCATGGCCTATGGAGAACTTGCCAGGTGGAATGTGCCTGCACCTGCATGTTCGAAGCATCCGCGGCAGCTTTTGGTCTCACCCACGTGCTGCGATCACGACATGCCGAGAGCTTCAAAGAGTGGATCTTCGAATCTGCTCAGTCAAAGGATCTCCGAACCCTTCTTATGGCCACGAGGCTAAGACAGTCTGCTCTAAACCGGATCTTGAGTGAAAATAGAAGGTCTCGAAACGAAGAACGAGGCGAGCTGACACAAAAGCAGGGAGCACAAGGACGTGCAGCTGGGCGAGGTTTCATCTTGACGAAGAGGTATGTCGTGTATGGCTGTACTAGTTCTTGCAGTCAAGTCTTGAGAGTCAATTGCATTCTAACGTGCAACCTTGTGCTGGGGCAAGGTTGGGGGTGTGCTCATTGACCTGCAAGGCACTGATCGGACCGGTGGTTTTTGCCATGAACGCTCCCCGAGGGCAAGGTGTATTTGAAAAGGGCATTCTCATCTTCCTTGACCCCGCTGAAGTGCTTTCCGTCCATGGTTTTCAGAAAAAGAACATCCAACGTTAGCAGGAAGCAATGAGCCACGGAAGTTGCCAAGTTGTTGTTGCTCCCCACTCTCGTGGTAGGGCAGTACAACATGACTGATCTGAGGAAACCTGCAAACTTGCAATCTAGCCTGCTGGCTGGTGACTGTCCTCTTCTGTGTGACCACACCACTAGCCTCTACTCCACCCCCTCTAAAAATCTGTTAAATTTAGCATCCTCCCTCCCTAATTTAGTTTTCCCCAGTAGTCTTTCTGCAGTAAGGACATCAAAGGCTTGGAAGCAGGCGGGATTCATGACGCCAACCGCCAACCTTTCGTTGAGAGTGGCAGCTCCTCGAACCTGCTCCAAGCCGGTTCTTCGAAGCTCTTCGCGGCAACGAACACAAGCGCGCGGGAGAATCCGTTTCAATACGCGGCTGGCTTCAACGTGGGCCAGTCATTGTGGACGACAGCAACGCTTCGTGAAGCTGACAAATTGGATGCCGCACTTTCAGTTCAGCTACCCGCGTCAGCGAAGGATTGTGTCTATTTTTGGCATGTATCTGGAAACTGTTTCCACCAGCTGAGATGCACACGACTACTCATCCCATTGTCCAAAAAACTTTGACAGCATCGAGCAAAAAGTATCATGAAGCGTTCCAAAAAAAGTATGAACTTAGTGAGCAACATCAGCCGCGCCGAGCTTCACCTGTGTCTGCAAGAGTCAGTGTTTTACTTGAGCCTACTGCCAAAACCACCTAGTGGCGTTCTTGGCCTTTGGTTGGCTTGGGGGAGTACTGCTTCTGCTGTCATCCTGCACTAATCTCCAGATTCCCAAAAGGTTTTGTGCAAAAGATCTTCGTGATTGGTCAGGCGGACTGTCAAGCGGTTATATATATATAAATACACATACACATCCTTGTGCATGTCACGTCCCGTTCGCGCCAGGGGTTACCATTACTAAAGGCCTATCACCGAAATCAGGAGAATATTGTAGTCAATATGGAAAACTGTTTAACTGTCTAACCATTATATAAGCAGCGTAATTCACTGCAGGCTGTGGCACAAAGCTTCAAAACCACTTCCAATGAGTTTGTTTTGTCTTCTGGAGCAAGCAAACAAAGATTCCACGCCTGAAATGCATTCTCTGAAACAGCCACCTGTCACTGAAAACCTGAAAACCTGGCAGTCGAACAACAAAAACTTGCATCTCGGTGAGTCGGCTTCTTTCAGACGCCTTCTCGCCTATCACCCCCGACTCTTCGGAAATCCCTCGCTGTCGCCCTCCGTCAGCGCTTTTCTTCGACCAGTTCGACCGGCGTGCGGGTTTCGGTGCGTTCAACCGGTCAAACCACATCAAACGGCGTGGCGGAACGAAATGTGTTTTCGATGTTTTTCGGTTGCCAAGGGAAGAAGCGATGTGTTTTTTCACGTCTATTGGCATCGGAGGCGGACCTTCAGTGAAGACACCAAGGACCTCGCACCATGCGACGAACATCGCGCACGCGCCGCAGTGACCGCACAGAAGGCCGAAGCTGGCATTCCGTCCATCGCGGACGAACGAAAACGGAGCACTTCCACGGAGTGACCCGAAAGCCACCAGCTGACACCCACGCGCTTGGCGCACGAAGGAGCGAAAGCGCCAACGGCACCGTTGGGGTGATATTTCTTGAGCTGGAAAAAGGGTTTTCTCCCCAACACCGTGGAATCCGAATCGGCACGCCGAATCCGTGAGGAGGTTTTACGAAGAATCCGTGAGCCCTTCAGGGTGGGTGACCAGGTGCTGAAGACAACAGGCAAAACAAGGGTGTTTGGAAGAGGTTTCTGCTGCTTACTGATCATCGGGAAATTGCAAATGACACAGGGGACATCCGGGGACCGAATTCTTAGCAAGATAGATTCCAACCCAAATCTCAAGTTTGTCACAGGCTGTCGACCTCTCGGTAGACTGCCGAACATGGTGATCCGTTCTCATCAATTACACTCCGGCTCGCGAACAGGAAGTGGACAATCCCTTTTCCGGAAGTTTTCTTCTCAGGTCCATTTTTCAATTCCCTGTTGACAATTCAAAGGGTAATCCATCCGATCTGTGATTAAAAAGACCAAATTAAACATACTGCTTCCGACTGCTTCCCTCTTTCTGTATCGAACATGCGGGCATCTGTTCCTTTCCGACTCCACGATGCGGGCATCCAAACATCCGCTCATCTGCGCCGGCTACACGGCTACACGGCGTTGATGTCTGCATGAAGCCCAGGAGTGAAGCGATTGACCGCCATGTCGTGTCGGTGCCAACCAAAAAGCTCCACAAATCAAACGAAAACCACGAATTCGCTTTACAGTTGATTACATAAATCAAGGCGTTTATAGTTTATAGTTTATTTTTGGGTCGTTTCGCTTAGCTGTCGTTGTTTCGACCACAGCTGTTTCGACAAAGAAGGCTTCTTAATGGAAAGCTGCGCAAAAGATCTCATGAAGGGGAGGACATGAACCTTTGGAAGCATTTCAATTGGGGATAGGTTCCGCAGGTTCCCCCCCAAACAGATTCCAAGGGTTTCAACATGTTTCAACTGCAAAAACATGTCCCAAACAATGGCCACCTGGTACAACGGCGTCTGGCTCGTTCGGTCTAGGATCAGGGCGTGGTGCATTTGCTCATTAACCATGATTAGGGCCGAGTAGGGGTGTCAAGTACCCTATGTGGGTCCAGGTGTAGACTTAATTGGTTGACTTGGGTTCACTGACAAGAAGCTGACACTTACGCAAATGATTGAAGATTCAATACTTCGAGAACATACTTTGTTTGGTATCTGCATCGCTTCTGTGCAATTTCGTTTGTGCACATATATCGGCCACAACTCGTGGTTGCACAATGTTGCTGTCCATGTGAGCCCCGATCAAAACTTATAATTGTATAATAATTGTGCTTCTTCAATTAGAAAAACGGGCATTATCGGTTTTGAGTTGGGCCTTATCGTATTTCTGCGTTGTGAGTCCGACACGTACTACTGATGATCATATACAGTGCCGGGGTGTGGACTTTATCGCTTCACCGGGTTCCGTGCACAAACCTACCCCTATTTATATGCTAAAGTTGTATTCTGTATTCGCATGTTTTGATCGTGGCTCGTGTATATAGAAACACTACTAGAAATAAGATTACAACAATTGTAAACAGCTCACCCCAAGTAGATCGGAGTGACAACTCTTTTGCTTCCAGATCTTGTCCAATCAAAACAATCTGCCAGTCATCTGGGCCTCACCCGACTTTGGAATTCCGATTTGTCCCCCGGCATGCTTCAGCAAGGGAACCTTCTGGCATGTGCTGGTGAGGCGGGCTGTCTTATGCACCGAGCAGCTGCCCACATGCACCAAGATTTGAAGATGTGCTCCCTCCCAGCCCGGCCCACCCCTCTCTCCTTCTCCCTGCCTTTACTCATTTGACTCTCTCCAACTCCTTCCCATACTTCCCCCACTCGCTCACTCCCTCCTTTCCTGGCTTTTTCCGGCGCAAGCTTCTTACCTGTCTCAGTTGCAAATAGGTTGATCTGCAAGCGAGAGATTGGACACTGCCCCCCACCCTGCAGTGGATGGTGGTTTGGGGTGATTGCAGGGTGAAAACAAGAGTCCGAAGCAACCGTAGACATTCTCACCTCCACCACGATCCTCGTGCTAAGTGAAAAGGACGAAAAAGAACAGGACAGTTTCAATGCTTCCCCATGATAATTTGTAAAAAAGAAGGACGTGGCCCAAACGCTTCATAGTTGCCATAAACCTGTCTGCTTGGTATCTTTTATGATCTCAATGTGCCTCACAACCCTTTCATCTCTGCCTCTTTTGACCACTGTGCAAAGCGACGCTGCTAGGCGGCCAAAGACCCCAAAGGGCCCCGGTCATCCAGCGAGCAACGGCTGACCCGAGAAGCAGTGCCCTGGCCGATGGTTCGAGGGCCATGAGAGCCAGCAGATTGAAAGCGACGCAGGTGGATGTCGCTCAAAATCAGCACCAATTCCTTGGAATCCTCGGTGGATCAAGCAGAGCAAGCTTAGA